TTGCTAGTAGGGTGGAGGCCATCGCTCTTAGGGTGGAGGCCATCGCTCTTATGTTGGAGGCCATTGCCTTTGCTTTCTTTCGATTTTTCGATCGCGGATGGGAGGTGAAGGCCAACTTGGATAGCGCGCCCTTCCTGTGGCCTGGTGTCCGGATTCCCATCTTGCTCGGCCGTCAAGCTAGCAGAAGCTCCGTTTGGTGGGAAAATTAACACAAGCTAGAACCTCTGGAAGGATGAACATAGACCACAACCCATTAGCAGCAGGTGTTCCTATTGTAAAGATGCAAAACCAAATCACACAAGAGTTGTGACTTGTGGTTGTGAACGGAATCACACCATTTGGACGTTCTCGATCAGAAGCCTTGCACCCAACCTTTTTGGTTGGACCCTCCATAGCAGATGTTAGTGCCAACATCTTAGCAGGAGTTTGCACTTTGCACCCTCAAAGCCTGTTTGTGTTTGCGAAAAAGGATCCCAGGGAAGGAGCTTAGCGAAGCTTTCGCCGCAATTCTCGAATGGCATCGAATGGCAACATGTTGCACCGGAACTCGTGGATGGATTTGGACCTGGTATGACCTGATCAGATCCTGAAAAAATATATTCATCCAAAAAGGTGTTGACTTCATGGATCAGTTCTGCCGCAGATGTCCTAAGAATCCAAGCACCAAGCGGCCAAGCGGCCTTTGATACCTCCCACCGCTCCGATCGTCACACCTCAAAGCCACCCGCCCCTCAACCCCCGAAGAAACACCGAAGTGTTTGAACCTCCGCCCCCGCGCAATTTCGCCGTGAGGTCTTTGACCTGCGCTGCGAATTGGAATACCTGGTGAAGAGTGCCAGCTGGAAGCCTCAGCGGCTCTTCGGTGAGCTGCCGCGAATTGGACCTCAGGACAGCGGCCGGTCCGGAAAGTATATGGACTTTGAATTCTTTGTATGAAAAAGACCCAGAAACGCTGTCATTTGGATTGCAGATGTTCCTGCCTAGTCAACATGAGGCATGTGGCATGTGGCCAACTGGAAGACCATTTTCTTTGAGTAAGGTACCAGCAAGGAAGGTATGAGCATTTGGGTTTTACATGGTTTTACCATTGTCTCGGCCAGAGACCCCAAACAGTGTGTCGAAGGGTCTAAGGTCTAGAGTCTAGGGGTGTAGAAGCAGAAGGTCCAGAGATCTAGACGCACTGAGCTCCGGAGAGTGGTGGTAGTGGTGGTGGTGGTGGTGGTGGTAGTGGTGGTGGTGGTGGTGGTGGTGGTACGAGCGTACCGTGATCGAACCCGGGCCTTTACTACCGTAAGAACCCCTCAGTGTGGACACACTGTTTGGTGAAAAAAGAAGTGCTTTGGACTTGAAGGTAAGCATACGGAGTCGAAGCGCACGATGTGTGACCTGATCTTGGAACAAATGACGCGCCAGACTGTGCCGAAAGTGTCCAAGCCACCGCAGGTGGGCGAAGGGACGGAGGTAAACCATCGGGGCGGCTCTTGTTTGATCCACTGTAGCGTCCGACAAACCGAGAAAATCATTTACGGTGCGTTCTCGGTCCATGCAAACGCTGTGCCACGCATTGCGCAGGACGGAGTAGCCTTCTACCAGACCGCGAGCGATGTGATCATATCGCCCGCCGTGATTGCACCTATAGGGACGCCATCCTCCCAGCGTATACCTACAAGAGATGGATTCCACCGCGGATGATGACTCCGCCTCCGAAATCCTGTTCCCGACAACCGAGGGACTCCAACCTGGCCAAGCTATCCACCTGCCGCCAGTTACACGCCACAATCTTTTGGCACCGACACCGAGCGCCCGAGTCCTGCAGCACACCTCCCTATAGGTATATCTCACAGATTGTGGAGCTGCCGTCGCGGGCTCGTGCTCGGCGCTGAAAGAAGAGGACAAGAGAAGGACAAGAAGAGGACAAGAGGAGGACAAGAGTACAAGACAAGGACAAGATATAATGGGAGAACCTGTTGTCTGCCGAACCTGCAGAGAACGTGATTGACACACTTTTTTGGCCAGAGTCATCTAAGTGGCATCAGTTGGATTGTGCAGTCTTTCGTCCTTGTCATTTGCTGGCCGGCAGGTGCTGCCGCTAAAGCCGAAAGCAAAAGCACAGTGGGCAGGATGACAGATAGGTATTGGTGAACCTGAAACTGAGTCTGAGCAGCGTTTCGCCAAAGCAAGCAATCCAACTGAAGCAGCCAAGTGTCCTTGGGAGCTTGTTTGCAAAGTCAATGGCTTCCACCACAGTGTCAGTGTATGCACTTGAGTGTGTGGATTGTGACTGTAAATGTGCCCCATGACATGTCATGTAGTTCGAGCCTTCTCTACAGAACACACACTTATGGATATGCCTACGGACTTGACAGCGGTGCCACACGCCGGCCTAAGTAAAAAACCTTAGGAAACAAGGCAAGTTAAAGTTAAAGTAGAGGCCATCGCTAGAAGTTGGAGGCCATCACCTAAGTTTGGAGGCCAAAGTACCGAGTTAACAGCAAGCAACAGCAAGCAGCAGCAAGCATCTGTGCCCACCCCAACTCTGCAGACTGGATAGGAATGCATCTAGTCGAGCAGAGTGGACGCGCCGGCCCTAAGGGCAACCGGCATATAAACTACTAGAAGGGCACCACAAATAGAAAGAGGCCATAGCGACAAGGTTGGAAGCCTGCGCAATAGGTTAGAGGGCCCACAAGACACAAGGCAGCAACAAAACAGCAACAAAACCAAAAAATGGATTGTGACTCCAAAGGTTGCACTGCAACATTATGAAACACTTCAAGATTTGTGCGTGTCATTCCTTTAAACTGCAACAACGTGGTACACTTCAAGATTTGTGAGTGTCATCCATCAAACTTCAAAAGAATCCCTGTGACTACAAGGGGTACACACACACACGCCTCCCCGAGGGGAGGCGTATTGAAGGTGCGGACAAAGTAGTACTAAGGCCAGGAACCTCTAGTAGTGTCAAAGTAGCATCCTAGCACCTAGTAGGAAGGCCAGGAGCCCCTAGTAGCATCCCAAGCTAAGGTCCCGACAGGAGGGAGGGGTAGGGAGAGACGAGAAAGAGGAAAGAGAAGAAAGGAAGGTGTTCCCAGCTACGACGCATGCGTCCAAGGACACACCAACGGAAGAGAGGAGAAGGGTTCCCAGCTATGACAAAAGCATCCAGGGACACCCAAGGAGGAAGGAAGGTGAAGAGAGGAAAAGAAAGAAAGAAAGAAAGAGAGACGGAGAGAAAGGGAGAGGAGAGAAAAGAAAAAGGCAGGTGTTCCCAGCTACGAACAATCGCTCAGGGACACACCAAAGAAGGAAAGGGGTGATCCTTAGTATTCCATTCAGGAAACCCCAAAAAGCAAAGAAAGAAAGGGGGTGGGAAGGGGAAGGGGGGGGGGCTAAGCTCGCGACAGGTTCCAACGAACCTCAAAAGTATTTCGGTCGCTCTGACCACGTTGAGGCGTTAAGCCAGCTTGGACCGCTGCGGTCACGTAAAGGCATGAGCCAACTAGGAATTCAATAATCCGTCAGGTCTTGGCAATTAGCTTTGGCATAAGCCTCCTACGCCCGCTCTGGGCACGTACATCTCCGAGCAGGGGAGATAAGGACAGACACCCGTTCGACGGGTCCACGGGAGGCACTCTACGGGCTCATCCCGGACTCTCACTAGGAGAGACACACTTATGGATATGCGTACGGACTTGACAGCGGTGCCACACGCCGGCCTAAGTAAAAAACTTTAGGAAACAAGGCAAGTTAAAGTTAAAGTAGAGGCCATCGCTAGAAGTTGGAGGCCATCACCTAAGTTTGGAGGCCAAAGTACCGAGTTAACAGCAAGCAACAGCAAGCAGCAGCAAGCATCTGTGCCCACCCCAACTCTGCAGACTGGATAGGAATGCATCTAGTCGAGCAGAGTGGACGCGCCGGCCCTAAGGGCAACCGGCATATAAACTACTAGAAGGGCACCACAAATAGAAAGAGGCCATAGCGACAAGGTTGGAGGCCTGCGCAATAGGTTAGAGGGCCCACAAGACACAAGGCAGCAACAAAACAGCAACAAAACCAAAAAATGGATTGTGACTCCAAAGGTTGCACTGCAACATTATGAAACACTTCAAGATTTGTGCGTGTCATTCCTTTAAACTGCAACAACGTGGTACACTTCAAGATTTGTGAGTGTCATCCATCAAACTTCAAAAGAATCCCTGTGACTACAAGGGGTACACACACATTCAAAAGTCAAATTCTCCCCATCAATCAGTCTTACTTACTTTGTTTGTTACATCAGTTCAATTAACACGCTAGACACTGCTAGTCAGAAACCGTTCTGCACTCAAAGGTTCTCTCCAACAATGAACCATGTCACCCGCTGTCAGTCCCAAACTCCAACCTCACAAATAAGGGTGTCATTGAAGTCAAGCAGCTCCATCCATGGACCTGGACAAAATTGTGTCTAAAACTTTCGAGCAGACAGCCTTTTTCCAAACACATATGGGAAAAGGACACATTTTCCAAAAATAATAAAACATGCTCTAACCACACCCCAGCAAGGGACTGGAGGATACCAAATGGGAGACAAGTGTCAAATCATGCGGCCACAGCAACCACACTGCGGCGGGAACGCAAGCCCGGAGACAAATGTAAAAATCAAGCGGGCCCGGCGCGCAACCCCTTCAAAGGAGTAAGAACTCGTCACAGGTAAAGCTGCTCGGGGAATTTCAAAACTTGAGAAAAGAAAATGAATATATACTACAATTACAACAGCCCCCACAGCCCGACACCAATGAAACATCCACCGAAGATCCACCAATCCCTTCGCTTCGGGATATACCACGCCCGCAACGGAACATTTGAGTTGGAATCGGGGGCGTCTATAGTTTACATTTTGGGTATATATACCAGACTGATACTTGCCCCATCTTGCAGTCCAACTTAAGATGATGGTTTGGATCCAACCTGATAATCCAGGTATAGAAGGACATTCAGATGGTTTTCCAAAGTGAACATCCCCAATTACTTCGACCCCCCAACAAAAACACCTTGCCGAAAGTGTTTGAGTCATTTTATTGAAACGGGAAATGAGGGCGGTGCGGTCTCCAAGGTTGAGGAATTCTTCCTCTCCATGATTCCTACCGAGTCAGTGGATAACCTTCCTATAACCTATTTGCAGGCTTGGTTTCCCCACAAGAATCCAACAGTCGGACAGTTGGATTAACCTCCTTTTCCAGGGAAACCTCTAAGGAGTCAGGATTCCTCAGCCAGTCTCTAAGGTTCTGAGGCAGCAGAAGCTCAGAGCTTGCCCATCCAGCACGGATGCCCAGCCGACCGGCTGACGGTCGAGGTGCCGGCCGAGAAGATGATCTTCCCGGATCCGGGTCCAGGTGGACGCAGGTTGACGCAGGTTGACCAGTCTCGTGGTCCAGAAAACCTCATTGACCCTCCCTCCAACAATCATGGAAACTGTCCAGGATCCCCGACAGTAGAGGAACATGGTTTCAAGGGCCTATGGGGCCCATGGGGCCTATGGCCCATGGGGCCCATGTTCCATCATTGTTTCAGGGAGTGTATGCAATTGGTGTTCTTGTTTGATCAACTCCAGTAGAATGAGGTCTTTCACTGACCTCTAGGGATTGGTTATGGAGTGGTTGACCCAGGCATCATGGAGTGTTTGGGAATTGCATTTTCAGTGTGTGAGATTCTTTAAGACTGTTGTATTTTTGTTGTGGAGGTGTTGGGGGCAAAGATGCAGCAGAGGCACCCGAAAGCTACAGGTTCCTGTCAAGGCCAAGATATCACAAGACTCACATGTGTTGATCTACGGTGGGGAACACAAAGAATTAATGACACAAGGCTTTCACACATCTGCGGGGGCGTCCAAGTCTGTCCTTCCCATTCTTGGCGCACGAGATAGTTTTGAAGACTCTTGTCCGTTTTTGCTTCAAAACCGCATCCTGTCAGGCTTCGCTTTCCAGCCACCACCTGTCAGGGAGCCAAGCCGGGACTGATGCTGATTTGGTATGCTCAGCTGGAGCTTCTCATGACTTGAGATTTTCACCTCCCGAGGTACATTGGTGGAAAGCCTGGCCTGCACTTCCGCTAGGGTGCCCCTTTGAGGGTTTTTAGGTCCAAGGCACTTGAATTGACGGAAGAGTCAACGGTGTTCCAAATCCCAGACACTCCATGTATGCCATATATGCCTACATTGACCCCCCAAACCACCCCAATGTAGGCATATATGACATACATGGAGTGTCTGGGAATGTTAAGTCGATCCAACCGGTCAGCCTCGGACACCCCCAAGTACTGGACTGGGTAGTAGTTAAGCGCCGCCACGACACCCAGATGGTCGGATGGATCTCTTGGGTCAATCCCTCATCCACAGTTGCAAGATGAAAGCTGAGTCGAGTCGAGGGAAGAACAGCATCGGCCCATCAACGTCTACCTGAAGGGCCGTCTTTCATCCACCCTCCAGTGCGTCGCCTTCGTCGAGCCTTCGTGGAGCCCGTCCCACGGTCACTCGGGTCACTCGTCGCTCGCCTCGGTCCGTCACCCGAATCGACGACGTCCACCTGGTCCAGGGGACCCTCCCGGTGAAGTGAGACAGCGGACCCTCATGGTTTCACATTCACAGCGCACCCTCAGCGAGCCGAGTGAGCCGGAGTATTTCACAAGCACCCACTGGTCCCATTGGTCCCATTGGTCCCTTGAGTGCTGCCACCGCCTTGGTCGTGGACCGTCGTCCACAGCTCCACGGTGCGGGGTTGTGCAACGGGGTTGTGCAACGTCTATGCTGAAAGATTCCCAAAGTGTCAACGTCCAGGGGGTTGAACTGGGAGGTCTCCCAAATATCTACCAATGTTACATAATTTTACAATTTTTGTATATATTTAGTAGTTTCTATATAATTACATACCATGTGTATTTTACCGTTTGGCCCCTTCAAACAGTTCTGGTGGATTCAGCACTTCCACACTGTTCAGATTGGATTTCCCACGTGATCTTTATGTATTTTCAATGAACTCAAGACTCCAGCCACTTCCCTGAAGATTCACCTCAGGTGGCAATGCATTCAAATCATGTGGAGGGGCTGCCAATGATGGATCCATTTGGAGAGTTTTATGGACATCCATCCATCCATGGAGTGGCCTCATATCGGACACATTTGGGAATCCTTGAGCAGACGATTTCCTGATCAAGAAATCCCAGGCTTGTGCCGTCAAAATGTGTAGGGACACCCTAACGGCCCATGGACGCTCTTTCAGGTGAAGGTTTGGTTCAGGTCCAAGCTGCAAAAAAGCAGGGTCCTTCGACCCTCCGTAATAGGAGGGTCGAATGATGGCTGGGAATAAAGCATTTAAAGTAGCTTTTGAATGTTCGTTTTGTGAAACCCCTTTTTGGGGTCAAAACTGTGGCAGGAGGGTCTTGGAAGATCATATTCCTGGTCACCTACCGGCCTTTGGATCGTGGAAAAGTTTCTCCGCGCAACGACGCAGTCCTGGCGCCACAGCCAATGTCAGAGGACTGAAGCTGTTCAACAAACGATGTTAAACACTCCATTGGACTGGAATATTTGCCCATCAGTTGGGGTGGTTTCGTTTCAGGTTTGTAGGGATCAAGTCCCTACACGTAGGGTGGAGGCCATCGCTACTAGGGTGGAGGCCATTACTACTAGCTAGAAGCTACTAGGAGTAGGCTCTTTTGTGGATCTTTGTGGGTCATCAAACCCCAATCGGGCTTTGGTCCCATGGAGTGTTCGGGTCGATGTTTTCCTGGCGTCGCTGGGAAAGCCACCTGAAGGGGGTTCATACAGCCTGGGACGTTTTTGACGCCGTTTACTAACGATGTTATACTACAACATCTCAACTCTCAACCGTTCTTTTAAAGGTAGTCTTGGAAGGTTCTGGGAAAGTATTGGTCTCTCGGGTTGCCGACTTGTACTATCGTCCCAAATGTTAGTTTTGGGATGACCAACTGATTGCTCCCTCATGATGTGATCCAGAATCCAGAAAACGTAACATGGATATCCATGCACCATTGGAATTCAGCCCGTCGCTTCCGTTCGGAGTACAACGTCGCATGCGGGGTGTGCCGGGTGTGCCAGGTCACTGATATCGCACCCTTTTATGATCACCCGAATGGACTGGTAGGGAAGTGTCCAACACAATTGAGTGGAACCCGTGCGAAAATATCAGAAGTACCTTATATCAGTCTCCAAAGTACGACCGCGGAACATGACCCCAACATACCCCAACTAACAGTTGACTCATTTCTCCACGAGTTCGTGATGGTACATGACCAATGGGTTTTGCGGCTTTGCGGCTTGACGAACACCTGCATTAGGTGCCAATGGAGTTCCCCAGCGAACGTGACCAACCAATGGGTGTTGGTTTGTGTTCCTTCTCCCAGAGGGCCGTTGGGGGCTCTCCCGATTTCAATACACATCCGTCGTCATCTATAGAAACTCCGAGTCACTAACATGAAAGTGGAGTTCACTAACTGTTTGGTATTAGTAAATTGGTCATCCAAGGGACATCTACATGATTGATTCAGAGAGTATATATAATATCTAGGCGTTGCCTGTCACCCTGGCTGGATGTCCATCGTCTATCAAACCATCCACAGAGCGATCCTGCAGCTGATGTTACTCCAACCCATACGTATGATGGAAAGGAAACACTTCTGGACCAGCCTCAACTGGATCTTGGACTGCTCTTGAAGAGCTGTGGCTCAAGAATAGGGTGACATCCAAACTCGCAGGTAAATCAGGTAAGGACAAGAATAGAATAACTCGCAGGTGGGCCCCTGAAGGTCTTACAATTTGAGTCACATCCATTGGTGTAACTATCCAGCTGTCCAGGCAGATCCACTTCCATCCACTTCCATGTTTATTGGATAGAGGTACCAGAAGAATGGAGTTGTCCAACGAGCACAAGCTGAAGTTGAACACTTCGGAGTTGAAACACGCCTGCGTCGGTGACCAATGATCCACCCTTATATGCATAACACCCATAGGATTCCTGAAATGATTCCTGACCCATCATTGATTTCTTAGAAAGTAACTATTGTTTTTCTAGGGGGCTTTCGACTACGCAAGCCGGCCAACCATGTTTTCAGGGTCTTGGCATCCTAGGTCAACAGATATTGGGAAGCCTTACTCTCCCTCCAACGTCTTCATGGAAGCAGATGGACTCTGGAAAGACTATATTTTCATATATGTTTTCAGTTATTTTCCAAATACCAAGCAGGGTAGACATCCATGGAGGGAGGGCAACAACATGCAAAAACAATACCTGGAAGACACCTTCACATTTTTCCTCCCAGTCCAAGATTGATTTGCTCTATTTTTCCAGAAGTCATCAGAATTCCCACATCCCGACACCTTTTGCTGCTTCAATCCACCCAGAGTGGGCGATCACTTGTTCCCGCAGAAAGAATAAAACACATTTGGTGTGTGTATTTTAAGCGGGAGAGCCTCTGTCCCTGGCTGGATAGGCTGGTCGTTGGCTGCCGTGTGGTTCCAAGCCCCTCTCCGCCGAAAACACCTATCCACCGCCGGCGGTGGGACACCCGTGGAACGCGTTGGACGGCGAAAACCGCTCGCGCGACGAGAGCACTGGAAAGGATACCATCTCTGACTACGTCTCCTCGAAGTCGGATCTCCTTGGTCATCAGACTGCCCAGGTGCCGGAGCTGGAGGGTGTCGGGAGACGAGGAATCGGTCGTCTTGAAGTCGAAGATGGGTTGATCCTATCTCAGCTATTTGTTTAATGTGCATGCATGTGTATGGTATTTGCAGTTTGTTGAAAGCTACTTTATCCATATTTCGGAAAATGTGCTTCAATTGGTAATACTTTGACCTTAGAAGAGTTCAGAGAAAGAGAGAGAGAGAGAGAGTGAGGAAAACTCTTCAACAAAACGGGTTTGGTTGAGTACAGCCGGAATTCCACCAGATACCACCTCCTTGAGATGGTTTACTTCACTGGAAGATGAAAGACCTACCAACCAGTCTACAAACCTATTTGGGGGTCATTGTGGGGGTTCCATGTGTTTATATTTGATGTGCCCCGATCCCACCAATAGCAAGTAACACCTATGTAACGTACAGCATGTAGACTCTTTGTTAAAGGAGCTCCAGAGTAGTGAAGAGGTTGTGCAATCCAACTGGTGGTTGAAATGTAATCAAGCAATCTACATATTCAATTCTTCAAACCTGTTGTGACTTTCTTGGAGTACAGGACCTTTTGTTTTCCTTTCTTGGTGTTCAGGGTCCCAAACAAAACCGGACATCACAGGACTCTCCTTTGGTGTTGCGGAGTTGCTGGGGGATGTGGAGGAACGCTCGGAATTGGTTTCTTCCCAGTCCCGCGGAATTGCTTCGATGGCCGATCCCGTCCAGATCGGTGATGGCCTTCATCCGACCGGGTGGAAGTCCGTTTCTCGCCTCCAAACCGCTGGCGCCGACCGGGCGTTAGGCCTTGAGCTTCGAGAAGACAGCAGATCTGTCAAGCCTGGTGGGGAGGTGCCGGATCGGTCGATGGGAGCAAGGTCTCGATGGGTCGAGACGGTCGAGACTGGTCGAGACTACTGGCACGTACCATTTGGAAGGACGTCTTCTAGCGTGCCTTGGAGTGTGGGAAAGAAAGACGTTCCTTGGGATTCTGAGGGTGGATTTGCTTTTTCATGTCCAGTTTGCACTTGCCTAGGTTATTGAACACGCGATGCCTAGGACGTTTTAGGAATCGTTAGGAATTGGACGTTTTGGGAATTGGACGTTCCTCTAGCGTTCCATTGGACCTCACAACAGAAGAAAAGGGCCTAGGGGTTTGTTGCGGTCTACGGAAGGCACCCAGTAGCAGTCACACCCTTTGGGGAATCGATATCAACAGATGTCATCTTTGTGCACGCGAGGTAAAGGATAGCATATTTGGTGCACTCAAATTAAATGCTTGCTTTGTGCATTCCTGTTGCACATCTAGGTACTTTTTAGAGTAGATGGGTCATGTGCTGCATCACAGATTCATGCAATTGGCCAAAACACACCTGGCTGTGTCAACGTTTGACAAGTTGTTCGTTTGCTGCTACCTGAGTATGATGTTCTCCTGCAAAGCCTTCCCAGTTGTATATATATATATATATATATGTATGTATGTATATAATATATATATATATATGCACATGTGACCAGCAGCTTAGAGAAGCTCATTCAGGGCAGAAGGCCAAGTTGTTCTTTCTTTGTGCCTATGTGGGTGCTTTTTGGGGGTGAGTGAACAGTCGGCGAGGTCGGTTGTGGTCTGATGCCTTTTGGGCCGTCCCAGAGTGACGTGCGGAAGTGGCATCCGAGGGTTGCTTTCAGAAGCTCTTCATGTTGAAATCCAGAATTGGCCAAGTATGCCCCAGGAATCGCAGGTGCAGTGTGAGTGTTTTGTGGTCTTGTCTATTCCCATCAATCAACAGCAGCACGCTGTTACTGTGCAAGCAGATCCTTTTTTCTACCTGTCAGCCCATCAGGTGCGCGGGTCTTTGCCATTTCCACGGCATACAGCAAGCAGTCTCACCTCAGAGTCAGGAGGGGAATGGAGACAGAGGCGCTTGGGGTTATGCTGCTCCCCACCGGGTTCCCCTTGGGAGACCACTGACTGGGACGGAGGTTGATGGAGGTAATCATGGAGAATTGATGGACTTATGATGCCAACTGTTTTGCTGCCAACTTGGTTCCGTTGCTATTGTAAAGCTTGGTAACTTGAGGCCCATGATCATGATACAGCATCCTGTACACTGGATGTTCAAAGCTTGAATGCAGGGGGTGAGAACACCCAGTGATGGATTGGAAGAAATTTCACCAAAGACTGCATTTCAAAAACTCATGTCTGGTGGGCTCAACACCCACCGAGGTTCACTGCCGAGTCAGTCAAGCCAGTGGAAATCATGCCATATACCATGATGTTCCCGGTGATTCATATTATATTGTTTACCCTCTACCAGCCCGACCGGTCGGCAAATCCAATGTGCGGCGATGGCCGCGCGCGGCGGCGGCTAGGACATGAAGTTCCTGCTGGTTGGGGCAGTGCAACCTCCCAGTGCGGCAACTCTCGAGGTGCCGCGTGGAGAGGGGAACCGAGGAAGAATGGCTGTGGAGTTGCTAAAAGGATTTGCACTCCCAGTAATTTCATAGGATGACCTGCCCTTCCGGCAAAACAAGGTCTAAACCTACAAGAAGGCAAAATAGTTCATGATAGGGGAGGGTAAAAGTATATTATATACCCCTATCAGGATTCTTGGCACAAGACCAAGGAAGCCCGGTGTGGACATTGGATTCAGAGGGTGAATCCAGTTCGCTTGTTCAGGGAAATTCTTGCACCCCCTCTCCAACAATCATTGAAGTGGAGCATGGCCCTGTGAAACAATCTTTGGAAGGGAAAGAAGGCACATGGTTTCAATTCAACTGTACGGCCGTACGGTGTTTTTGGATCATCCGTAGCTTTTGGGGCGACTCGCGGAGAGAGCTGATGACCCGGCCGACCGTTTGCGAGTCGACTAGGGATGTCGCCGTTGTTCCGTTGACGTTTCGACGGGTACGACTACGAACAATCCATCGGTCTTAGGGATCCCCAGGTCTTTATGAAACTTTATAGGGCTCCAAGTACCTCCTCAGAAGGTATTTGGACCCTCAAAACCCATTCCAAACACCTTCTTAGAAGGTGCTTGGATCCCTAGGGGAAACATCCATCCGAAATCCCCTGGTCCTTCCATTTCCTCCAAATCCACGTTGAGCCTTTGTCGACATCGGACCCGATTTCAACGCAGATCTTTCCAACAGGGTTCCTTCACACCTATCAGCACTCAGGTCCTGGGCTCCCACCCTCCTTGCTAAAGCAAGACAGACTCCAGCTAGCTATGCCCGGGTGGCCGGGCCTGATGCGCTCTCATCCCGTGGTGGTCTCCCGTGGTGCCGTTGCCACGTGTGTCTGAGTCTCTCACCAGGGCCAGCGGGCAGCTCCAACTGGGGCATTGGTGATTTGCAGATGTGCAGCTTTGGTAAGGCGCGGCGCGGGTGTGGAGCTATGACGGTGTTCACCAGTTTTATTTTTCAGAGATGGATGCGTGTAAAATATAGCGGAAAGAGTGCCCGCCCTCAAGTTTTATATCGTTTGTGCTGGATCGGAAGTTTCTTTCCACAAATGAACACAGCAAACAACAAGAGATCCTTTTTCCCCACGAGTTCTCTACGTTCTCCCTCAGCCATGAAGAAATCAATACAAACTTCAGTCAAACCCACCTCCCTTTTTCTGAAAGGCCAGAAAGGTCAATATACGTTGGCAAGTACGTTGGCAGTTGTACAGGTTTATCCGATGTTCATTCTGTGGGAGGTGTTTTGTTTTGGAAATGGTCAATTGTTTGACAACCTTCTAGGACCATGGATGGTTTGGGTTGAGGGTTTCAATTGCATACACATTCAGCACCATCAACCTCTGAATTTTGGAAACTCACCCAATTTCGCTCGAAGTTTACCCAATTTCACATACATGGAAGATCATGGAACTAGAAAATGCTTTGCACGTTTTCTGTTAAAGGTTATAAACAAAAAAGTATTCCAAGTCGGGACGCACCATGGCACCAAGGATTTGTATTTCTCCACTCAGCCTTCAACCCGCATGCTTAACTTAAGAAATGTACAAGTTCTTTTACATGCAAAAACTATGATCTGAATCGCCCCCACCGCCTCGGACGCTCCACGAGGCGGTCGTTTTTCATCCCAGGCCCTCGGGGCTTGAACTCCGCATCACCGTGAAGGCCTTCCAACAGGCGGAGCTCGTCATCGGTTCGTTCGGAGAGACACCGGAGGGAGAACATGGACACCGTCCTATTTATAGACCGCGAAACCGTGCCACTATTAAACTTTCTATTTGGGGACCACTATAGTACTTATTGCATTGGTACATCGTGTGGTATGGAGCAGCATGCGACGACTCGATGGAGTGTTGGATGGGGGGATGACATCGGGAAGAAACCCTCAAAATTGGAATCGGGCATGTTTGTTGCTCTTTAATTCAATCATCTCAGATGATTCTTGATTTTCCTGTTCAAATGAAATGGGGAAATCGCTTCTTGTGAAAGAAGGGACAGCTTGGCCACACTGATGTCCAGAGTTGTTTGCAACGCATCCTGCGGTATCCTCGGTTCAACCACTACAGCCCGAGGGGCTGTTCCCGTTCGCTCGAAATGGAGTGCATCGCTTACTTGTGCCACCAACAGTGGTAGCGGAGCCATGGGTGACATGGCGCGCGCGACCTCCACGGCCTCTGCTGCTGGCGACGCTGCTGACGGGAGCGCCTCCCCAACCTCCCTATACACGGTGGACGTGATCGTGACGTTCCTCCAGCCTTTGATGGCAGCAATCCTCATGCGTTCAAGAGGTACGAACGCGACCTGGCACTGTGGAAGTATGCCCAAGAGCAAACATGGAGTGCGGATGATCAGACAGCTGACCGGCCCTGCTCGATCCGCCGCCGATTAGGTCCCCCTGGACAAGCTGCTCTCGGAGACGCTCAAGGAGCACATGCTCCTTACTTGGAGACGGCTCTCCCTCGAGCCTTTGAATGGGCGGTATACGCCGATCAGAAGAAGGCTAAAGAAGGACTACAAGGACTACATCATCCGCATGGACGCGGCCTTCAAAGACCTCCAAGACGAAGGTGTGGTCCAGGAGGTGGTCAAGGCCCACAACATGTGATCTTCCGTTAAGCGAAACTCACTCAGGCTCAGGAAGACCAAGCGACGACCTGGTCGGCAGGAAGCTACAAGCGGGAAGGCTTCGAGACGACTGGAAAAGGCTCACCTGGATAAGAACCCCAAACACTTCATCACTGATGTGGACGCCTGGACGAGGGTGAGGTCTACCTGCAGGACGACGCCTACGGCAACCTCCTGGACGATGAAGATGAGAACTACGTGTGGGTCGACGACGGGGGCCTGGATGAAGTATTCGAAGAAGGTGAACTACACGAAGCTCTTGCCACGTATCAAGAGGCCAGGAAGGCCCTACGAGACCAACGAGGGCAAGGGCAAGAAAGAGCAGGGGAAGACCAAGGGCTATCCAGTCCATTCCGGGGGAACTATGAGACCGGAAGTCGACGAGTACATGTAGATCTCCTGAAGCTGCGGACCAAGTGTGCCCGCTGCGGGCAGATGTGGTGATCCGGAGAAGCCTCCGGAAAACGTGATTCGGGATTCGCGTTTCGTGATTCGGGATTCGCGAATCACATTTTCGTGATTCGGGGCTCCGGAAAACGTGATTCGGGATTCGCGTTTCGTGATTCGGGATTCGCGAATCACAGTTTCGTGATTCGGGGCTCCGGAAAACGTGATTCGGGATTCGCGTTTCGTGATTCGGGATTCGCGAATCACATTTTCGTGAATCGGGGCTCCGGAAAACGTGATTCGGGATTCGCGTTTCGTGATTCGGGATGGGGCTCCGGAAAACGTGATTCGGGATTCGCGTTTCGTGATTCGGGATTCGCGAATCACAGTTTCGTGATTCGGGATTCGTGTTTCGGGCCCCTGCCCCTCGGGCCGGGCCGGGCCAAGCTTTCGGGATTCGGCTTGCGGTCTTCGGAGGTACCCGGACCATTTTTTTTGCGAAAATGGCAGAAACGTGATTCGGGATTCGTGATTCGGGCCCCTGCCCCTCGGGCCGGGCCGGGCCAAGCTTTCGGGATTCGGCTTGCGGTCTTCGGAGGTACCCGGACCATTTTTTTTGGCGAAAATGGCAGAAACGTGATTCGGGATTCGGGATTCGGAATCCCGAATCACATTCTCCGGGACGTTCTCCGGATCGGGACTCCAGATTGGCCATTGCATGGGCCAAGGAGTGCACAAGCCCACCTGATGCTCGCAACAAGTCCGGCGAGCGGGATGCCAAAACAGGGTCCTTTGTCACGGGCGAGAAGGGGAAGGAGGATGCATTAAGTTTCATGACATGAACACTATTTCTCTTTGAGGTTACCCTGGACTCCTGTCTTGGCAAAGGACCAAAGTCGTTTTGCCGCGTCCAGACCGAGTCCCACCAAGGGGTTGTTGACTCAATCCGGTCTCATCGGGGAACCGGCACTCAAACGACTTCTTCAAAGTCTTCATCAACGGGGCACGCAGTCATGGCATGCAGAGACTCAAGCCCGAGGGGTTGGAGGAGAAGCCAAAGTATGGGGGTGATCGAGGTTCCACTTGATCTTGGGGGAGTTCATTGCGTTTTGGAGTGCACGGTCGTTCAAGAAAAGACGTTCCGTTCCGTTGTTGTTGCCGATTCTACTCCTTCGTGACCTTCATGCGGTGGTAGATTGGAACTCCAGCCAATTTGTTTTGCAGCACCACATCAAGAGCCCCATGAACACGCTCCCGTCGGGTCACATCGGTGGACGTGTTGGACTTGGGCGCTGGAAAGTGGCCTCGGTGGTGCCCAAGGCGAAGAGCAGCGCCAAGACAGAGCCCTGGATGAGTCCACCGCGTGTAGCGATGATGGCACAGGGCTACAGCGCTACATGTGCAGCGCAGCGCCGGCTACGCCACTGCCGCCCAGTGTCAAGACCGTCATGTGCGCGTGCCAGATGCCGGCAGAGCGGTTGACAGTCAAGAAGCCAGGGCCCAC